AAATCACAATTTTTACATAAGGAGAGCAGCAATATCTAGTTCACTTTGGCAGTACAAAGAAGAATTGAGAGAAAAATCCAGAAAGTAGTAGACTGTAAGATGCCATCTGAAATACAGGCCACCTTCCAGAGAAGAGGCTCTGAGGACTGATGTGTGTATATGTGCGGCAGGAAGACAAACGCACTAGTAGCTACAAGTAATGCAGGGGGAGGGTCTCCATGGGTGCAATGTACCTCTGAGGTACATCAGCTATTAATAACAAGCTGATGACATCTCAAAGGGCCAGCGAGGGGAATGGCCAGCCCAGCACCCACTAAGTTAGCTGCAGCCTTCAAGGCTGGGAAGAGAACCCCTGAGTTAAAGAAAAGTAGGACAGGCAGTTCTGGGCTTGCCAGAAAGAAGAGGGGAAAGACACACACCCAAATAATCTTTGAACGACAGTGGATATTTCAAGGCTGCTGGATCGACTAACCTGAAATGAGCAAGCTGAGTCCACAGCTAGTCGGAGGTTGTTAATGGGCTTCCCAGGACCCACAGAGAGGACTTGAAACCCTACTCCCAGTTATTCTTCAAGTGAGTGAACGGGAAATGGGAAAGAACCACTTAAAGTTCTTTAATGTAGCTCCTTGTTTAGGTGTCCTTTTCCCAAAAAGGAATGTACTACTGTTCACAAGCCAATGTGACCTAAAAATCAAAAGTTACAAATGAGGCCTCTGATCAGCTGGCCTAGGACTCAACACATCACCAGGAAATATGGATCTTAATATTCAGCTCGGTGAATTACGACCTTACACATATAAACGTATACGCCAATGTGCAAAATACTCAGATTTACACATACCTTGAGCGAACTGCATGACCAATACCCAAATCTGGTATACAAACCTAGCTTGTCAATCACTCTTTCAAGTAAAAATAGTTTTCCCTGAGGAAAAAAGGCTGCTTCAGCTGGACTGCATGCGTGCTTTCCCACCAGACAACCAGCAACGTGTGGAATGCAGCACACGGGCTTCGGAGTATTTTGTCACAGAGTATTAAAAAGATGTAATTCAAAGGTCCAAATTTAGAAAAATTCTTACTGCTTCAGTGAGGATGTTTTTAAGTAAAACTGGCTTTCTTTTTAAACTGCAAGCAGGTGACAGTGAATAATACAATGACTGGTGATACAATTATGCTAAGGTATCAGCAGTTTTACCCATCATTGCTGCTGTACTCTCAGTGTAAATGTCAATTCGTATTATTCATGTTATTAGTATTACTTTGAAAATAGTCTTGCAATAGTGAAAATAGATCTCAGAAATGGGGGGTATGAACCCCGAGATGATCGATGCTTCAGGAGGGGTGGTGGTATAGCATAAGAGACTTGAAAGTCAGAAGTCCTGAACTGAATTACTGCATCTCCTCAGGTAATTGACTTACATATACCCCAGAACCTTGCTGAGCCTATTTTTTCATATATACGACTGGATGATGACCTATTTTCACAGGGTTGATCTGAGACACTAGGTCGCACTGTAACCGTTCCATGTGTGCCCTAGACCCTGTGAGTGTTCTGTCTTACAGACTGATGAAGAGAAGAGACAGGGACTGCCTGTGGTGATGCCAGTGTTTGACCGGAATACCTGTAGCATCCCCAAGTCACAAATTTCCTTCATTGACTACTTCATAACAGACATGTTCGATGCTTGGGACGGTAAGATAGTTCTTGTTTTGTCATCTACACAAAATATTATCCTTTATGATAATTACCTTTAACAACATAGACTGGGCCTAAAGATATACATGAAATGTTTTGTGTATTTTTTTTTAAGTCAGCTGCCCGTGGCCAGGTATGGTGGGGTGCTTGTGTACAGAAGATTCAATGAATGTTTGATAAATGGATAAATAAGTCTTTACCTCTTCAAAGGACCTCTTCCAAAGCTTAAAGCAGTTTTATTCTAGCATTGGAAAAAACTTTAGAAAGAACACAAAATGTATTAAAAGTCTACCCTTAATCACAATTCTTTTAGTAATGGCTTTTCAGTTTTTAATTAAAAGGACCTATCTGTATTTCAGAAACTAATGCTGTGTGTTCACGTGCAGCCTAAGGTCTAAACTAGGGTACTTCTCCTGCAATTCTGATCCCAAATTTGTCCCACAGAGCCCTGGGATCTAACTTAACAAGCTTCTTTTGATTCTTTTATGTCCTTGCAGCCTTTGCACATCTGCCAGCACTGATGCAACATTTGGCCAATAACTACAAACACTGGAAGACATTAGATGACCTGAAGTGCAAAAGTCTGAGGCTTCCATCTGACAGCTGAAGCCAAGACAGAGAAGGGGACCTCTTTCTGTCAAGGGCATGTGAATCCCAGTAGTGTAAACGAGAGGCTTTCCTTTATAATGAAAATGACAAGTGTAGGTCAAGGAGCTAATGTTTAATATTTGACCTTGAATCAAATAAGTCCCCAGATTTTATTTTTACAAAGATATGTTCTTTATACAAGCAGTGACAGAACAAATACATGGCAAAACCCTTTGCCATGCTGTCACCCTGTGTGCCCTCATCAACCATGGAGATGAATGACCAACTAGCAGGACATACACAGCACAGACTTGGTGCCTCTGAGCCCATCTCCCTGGATGGTGACCAAGTAGTTTAGATAGTGTTCAGCTCATATCTTACCATAAAAATCACCATCACTGTTTAGCTTGACTATTTTCCTCAAGAGCTTTGGTCTGGAGGATTCATACTATCTAAGAAAAGAAACTATATATAAAATGAAGAACTAGGACCAAATTATTGATAAACCAGTTAGCTTCACTGGCTGTTTCTTCTGATTGATGTTATGACACCCAAGTTAGAACCCAGCCTTGTCCTGTTGAGTGCCTTCTAGACTGGTAGCAGCTGCCTATATCCCTCTCTCCTAAAAAAGGCATTCATCTTAACAGAAAGCCATCCATGATGGGGAAGGGAGTGACATTTTGTTTTGGGGGACTCTATGAGATCCCCTTATTTCTGGTTATCAGAGGCAGTCACAAGGCACTATAGTATTATATAAAAGCCATTAAATCTGAATGCCCTTGGACAAGCTTTTTTAAAAAAAGAAAAAATTTATATACATTTGCTGTTGAAAATTTTTATGAAATCTAAATTTTCTGGATATAAGTCTATCAAGTATGTTGTACCATCTCTACATATATATTTGGGGAGGGGATTTGGGAAGTTTCAAGGTTCATATATTTTTAACCTATCTGTATTTGCAATCATGCCATTTTCCTTTAATGATGTAAAAATATTGCAAGATGTGTAAATATATTAGAAAATAGACATATGGGGAAACAGTAAATACTATTAATTGTATGCTAAAGCTTCTAAAGCACAAGTGCATATTTTTATACAGCTCTTTTCACAACTTTCTGTGATCTACATGAAGTCGGACTTGAGTATTTTTCCTTTCTTTTATCAGTCAACCCTTCTCTATGTATTATAAACTCAGTAAACAAAATATCTTCATTTTTCTTCCAAATTCTTTGTACTCCATGCTGCATTTTTAAGAGGTATAAACAGAAACTGAATTAACTGAATCAGTAGTTACTTTTTTCAAACAAAAATTGGAATGCAGAACACTTGGAATTAGTACATGGGGAAAAAAATGTCTTATCACTACATAATGTGCCAATATTTTTTTAATGTTTTATACCAAAAAATGGAAACATATATGACAATTTCATGCGAAGTGTATCTAAATTATTTTAGGTAAGAAAACTTACTTGGTCAGGACAGCAGCTAGCGTTGTATTATAATGCTGCATTATGTAAATGATGAAAATGTTTTTGTGAGATACTTGTAACTAAATTCTTACAGCCATTTTTCATTTCCAACAACTATTTTTTTATTGTACCTCCTTTTTGACCTAAGTTTTTCATAACTTCAAATTTTCGGTTTAGTGTCCTTTATTTCATGAGTCATACACTTTGTTTTCAGAATTCAGGGTATCAGAATCCCATTTAAGGAGCTAAATACTTTGCCTAGGCTTCAGAAGCTTGCTTGAGGCGAGGACAATCTTTTCCTGACCATCTCTCTTTCAGTTACATTTGGTAAGTAAGAAACATTTATCAGCTGCGTCACATTTTCTATATGAATGTTGCAGCTTATTCAGTGGAATGTCAAATTAATTTCATATTAACTCAAATTCTTTAAGACTGCCAGGTACTAAAGCTTCAAAATAGTTCTGCTCTTTTTCAGTGCATGTAATCTACTATTGTGTAATCTGAGTTGCTACCTAAATAATGCATTCCTCCAAATAGTCATTTTATTAGAAATGTGATGTGGTCTTTCAGATGGATATAAACTATTACAACTGCCTCCTATCCTGAGTTGTTTACTAAGACATTCTGTGTTGAAGGGAGCTATATTAACTTAGGAAAATGCAATCCTATCTAATACAGAGAGAAGTCATATTATTACTACTACTTAACCACAAGGAAAAGTTAGGTTATCTGCACCAGAACAAACAACCCTATAATTTAAATCATTCTTTACTTCCAATTTAAAATTTGCTTGCCTTCAGGAGTCTTGTGGGCAAAGAACAAGCCTTACCCGTTCAATCAGATCCTCACTTAAAGAGAAATAAAAGGGATATTCCAAAGGTTAGGCTTTTGATTGTGATATGAATACAGCCAGAGAATGAGGTTAATAAGGCACACTACATAGTGTTACTTGCAACTAAAATAGCATTAAAAACTAAGATGGAAAAAAAATGTACATAATTGTATTCTTCTAAATTAGGGCATTCATGAATGAAAGCAAAAACCAGTCCAGTGAGTGGGTTGGAAGCTTCCCTCTAGACCAGTGGTTCTCAACCTTCCTAATGCCGCGACCCTTTAATACAGTTCCTCATGTTGTGGTGCCCCCCAACCATAAAATTATTTTCGTTGCTACTTCGTAACTGTAATTTTGCTACTGTTATGAATCATAATGTAAATATCTGATATGCAGGATGTATTTAGGCGACCCCTGTGAAAGGGTTGTTCGACCCCCAAAGCGGTCATGACCCACAGGTTGAGAACCGCTACTCTAGACACAGTTTTTTATGGCAGAAAACTAGAGTATGTAATGGATTTGCCCTGGTAGTATTGGCTCCCAAAACTCACCTGAGGTTTGTATCACTCCATGTGAACAGAGTATCACAAATTACTAACCCAGAACAGATTAGGAAATAAAGCAGTTAAAAATGATGAGTTTCTCATATAATTCACAGAATATGTCATAGAAAACAATTTTACAAACTCATGGCCTAATGTAAAATTTCCAAAGAAAAACCGCTAGCTAGTAATGAAGTAAATATTAAAGCCTAAAAATGATTGAGATATTTAATCAAACTAGTCAACCATCTGATGCACTCAGACCAGAATGCATGTCTGCCTGGTGTTGGGATAATAACCATGCTGCACCTTCAGGATAAAAGATTAGAAAGCTATTTCTGCAATTCCTCAAATATGCCACAAATAACAAGTTGTTGGATAACATTCACGTTCTTCTATTCTCTAATGGAAGGAACAGATTTTAATATATTTCTCTAAAGCTATTTTCATTATAAATTAAAAAATAACTGAACATTATTTGCTTTTCCTCACATGGTAGTCATGTAAGTATCTTTGATTTGTCTTTAATGCCGCTTGATGATAAGGGAACAGAGCTAACACATTGCAAGGCCTTACCTCTCTGGGCCTCAGGTTTCTCATTCATAACATTATGGCACTGGTCTGGCATAGATAACCTTAGCTCTTCCGGTCTTTGGAGGCAGTTGTGAAAGCAACTGTCAAAGGTAAAAACAATTTATAAAGATTCCATCAAGAGTGTGTGTGATGAGTAAGTCTGCAGAAAGTGTTCTTGAGAAGGATCAGTCCTCTGACACTCAGTCCCCTTGCACTTACTTTACTAGAATTCTTTCATCAACAGTTTAACTTTAATAACTCCACTACTAAACTCACCCATTTTTAATGTGTGGAACACTTCTTAATTTTTATCCTTTAGTACCAAAAGGGAGAAAGAGTGCTCTGATATAAAGCTGATGAAGATGATTAAATCTCAGTGACTACTGCAAGAAACTACCTAAGTGAAGCCTGTCTCAAGCATTTCATTTCTGAGTCAATGGTAAGATGAACCAGACACTTTGGACTGCCGTGTCTGACTGGAACACTTTACTCACCTAGCTCTCACCCCTGGCATGTAGGAGGGCAGCGGCTAGTGTAGTACCAATCTAGCCAATAGCTTTTCAGGCCAATTCACACTGAGGAGAAAAACACATCCTCATAAGATTCCTACTGATTTGAGTTTATAGGAATTTTAGTAGCTAGAACTAAAAATAAAAAAATGATTTAACAAATTAGTTGGCACCAGAGATTCAAATTTGCTCTATAGAACCTTGATAATTAGTTATTAAAGATGAGAGGAATTTATAAGAGAAAGGATATATTTAAATATATCACAAGGATTCTTAATCAAATGGGTTCTAATGATAACCAAAGAATAAAAAACTTATAATTAAAACCACAACTTTACTGTTCTGTTTGAACCTCAGAACAGTACTCACCACTTCAGCAGCATATGTGCAATTATGCACTCTCCATTTCCTACAGGGAAGAAAGTTCTCGGGAGAGCTCAAGGTTTACATTCAAGTTATGCTACATCCTACCTCTTTCTCAGTGGGTTTTTCCTCCCAAAACACTTTCTATAATTATCATGTCTACTTATTTCCTTAAATAAAATTTTAAAGAAATGAAAAAGGATATGTAAGCTATTCATTTGAGAACAAAGGTATTTCAAAATCCAAAGACTAAATGAAAGAAACTATATGCAACTTAAAAAAATCTAATGAATAAGAATTGAATTAGAAGTAATAAAATTATACTAAAGAAAGAGGTTCTGAGTACTATGCTCATTTACCACAAGCTCATAATTTCTGGGGTAAACTTTTCTAAAGCATAAATTTTTAAATTGTAAGGACACTATGTTATACTTTTATTCTGTATCAACAGATACTTGTATTGTGATCTGAAAATTTCAACTTTTGAAAATTCACTGCTAACATACTTGTGGTATATTCTTTGGTGGATGTACTCACATCTAACTTGTTGCTGGTTTGCATGCCCTCCTCTTCCCCCCCCCCAAAAAAAGAATTCAAACAATCAGAATTTTATAAAGTAACAAGAAAAAAATACATTACACATTTGAGTACATGTTAATGGTTTTCAGAGTATTACCCTATATTTGATGTTCAAGTTCATGCACATGTATTCTAAATTCCTTAAACTAGGCAGCAAGATACAAGTCACCATTCTCCTCTAATTTTTGAAATAATTTTAAACTGCGCAGTCCAGATTCTCGGTCTCCATTTTTCCATAAAATAATGAGATGATCAGCAGAGCATGTCACTAGTCCATGTTCTTCAAAGTATAGAAACATCTGTAAAGAAATTTTAAACTACTGAGTACAGGAACTTCAAGGAGAAGAGACATGGCCAAATTAAAGCAACACGTGTGTTTGTAAGATGTCTACCTTGGAGATATCTTTGGATCTGAATGGAAGACTCCATATCATTTTCCATAAGAAATTTTATTTTTTAAGTGTTGATAATAGTCACATACAAATATATAAGTGCTAAAAATATAAATACTAGACCAATGACCAATATCTAGTTTTAATAATTAGAACTTTAATACTGCCCAACTACAGAACTATAACAGCTATTTTTATAATGTACATGAATTCCTAGAGTTTCTTCTGTATTTTACCATATTCTTCTTCAAGTACTAGTTTTAAGATTTTGTCAGAAGTCCTGTCAGACCTACTTTACTTAATCACTTATAACTTGTCCCATTATTTATACACAAATGGCTACCAAAATAAAAGTCTGAGTTCTCCCAAGATAAACAGTGGCTTCAGATCTGTAAATAAAACAAGATAATCGATCCATACATAAGCATTTATTGAGTGTCATTATATGCATATGGTCCCTACCCTCAAGAAGGTTCTAATTCAGTTGCTGAAACAATTAGGGCACCCATTAAAGACTGTGTGATCAGGTACTATATAATAAGTAGTTCAGATTATAATTTGTCACAGAAATTCAGAAAAAGAGGACATAGGTCAATAATAACTGAAAATGTCAGAGAAAGTTTCAAAAACAAACATCTCCAAATAAAGGGAATGTCATAGGAAAATGGAGTGTTGATGAGAAGGCAACATGAGTACTATGAAGTGGAGAGAGGACATGAATGAAGTCATGAAAAGGATGAGCTCCTCCAAGGAAAGAATGAAATAAAGGAGAGAAATAACATTAAAGAACACAGGAGAACGAGAATTTTCTTTGAAATAACTTATACATTTTGAAGATAGCAGGATAAGGCCTTAGCTGTTAATGTAGGAGCGCAGGGTGTTAATACTGGAACAGAATTCCTCAGGACATGGAAAAAACAGAACACGGAGGGATTGGAGTACAGATGAAAATACAATAAAAGGAATAAGAAAATTCAGGAAATAGAAAATCTAGTCTCTCAGGTACCTAGTGAAGCCAGAGATATGATTTTTTAAAAAAAGCTTTAAGTATCAATACTTTCACTCGAAAATGCCTAAGAAATTGACATTTCTATATTTTGACAACTGCCACTTTGAAGGTTTCCTCCACCACTGAGCAATACGTGTGAAACCTTTAATGGGTTCCTACTATTTTTAAAAGAAAATCCAAACTCCTCAGCCTTACATTCAAGGGCATTCATAATCTAACCCAACTACTTTCCCAGGCTTCATCTCCGATGTCAGCACGTGTTCACAGAAATCCAATGCTCTAGCCTACCGAATCTGCTCCTTGCCACCAAATAGTTCCTATTTTTGTCCTTTTCTCTACCACATTCCATCCTCAACACTCCCATATAGCCAAGCAAATGAAGTTAAACAACAAAACAATTGGACTACTTGTTAGAGGAAAGCAAAGATGAGTACCCAGTATCTCAGAGCATCAATCCTCCCTAACTTTTAAGGTTCAGCTCAAGTCCTCTATCTTCCACTAATCATTTTCTTCTCATTCCTGACTCTCCACTGTTTGCTATGCATCTGGGTCCGCATAAGAAGCCTAGATTAACAGCTTATTAGGTCTGTATCCCTTCTCACTACTAAAGTATAAGATCGCATAAGAAGCCTAGATTAACAGCTTATTAGGTCTGTATCCCTTCTCACTACTAAAGTATAAGATCCATAGGGCAAGTATTATAGTTTTATATCTCTTTGTAAACTCCACTGTCTAGTATAGTGCCTGAAATATAGGAAATGCTCCATAACAAGTGTGGTACATCTCCTAAGCATAAATGCACTTTCAAATGAGAATTTGTTCCTCCCTGGCTATGAAACAGGAAGAACAATTTAAGAAAGTCATTATTTAGGGCCTTGTTTATACTGCTATCACACTATTACCAGTTCCAATCGTCTATTTATCTTGATTATTCTTATTCCTTCATTACAGGCATTGGTGCCTATAAGAAATATTAATATATTTGGATTACCAGTTAGAATTGTATGCATTTTATAATTCTCAGCTAATATTTTCATACATGCACAATGATAATCAAGACACTGGGTTTTACTAAAGCTGACAAATTATGATCCTTCAAAGGGAGGTAAACAGCACTCTATTCATAAATATGATAAAGGCCCCTGGAATTAGGTTCTGTAAGGCTAAATATCTCTCTCTCCACAATCCTCTTTTTACTACTGTTATATATTCAACATTATTCACATTGTCCTTACTGTCAGCTATCTTCATCTCATAAATAATGGTAATTAAGCCCATTATTTAGAGCAGTGATATTCAACTGGTGTGCTGGAAGTATTTTTAAAACATGCAATACATGACTATTTAATCAGGGGCAATGATACCTTTTCCCTTATATTGACAATAGCAAACAAAACAATTGCTATCTGGTGTAAATGAATCAAAATGATATCTATTTTCTGTCAGATTGGAAAAAACATAATAAATTGGAAATAGTTGATTTAGAAGCAACTCATTCCCTGGCTCCTCAAATCATCTCTCTGTAAAGAAAGATCTTAATTGCTCATACTACAACTTATCCTATTCCATGTTTCAATTCAATAAAAACCTACAGAGAAGAGAAAGTATAGGTCTTTATGATACCAACAGAATGAAGAGCAGTAAAATGCAAAAGCAGGAATTCCCTAGACATTTATATGCCTATTAAAAACAATACCTCTACGGATGATGAGTGTCCAATCAAGTCTCCAATAAGCTCCAGTAAACATGAAGTGGCATTTTCTTGTTGCTTTTTAACAGGTTGGCTGGCTTGTTTGTTCACTCTTCCAAATCCCCACATGTTAAAAAAACCTAGAAAAAAACAATCATTTCAGGCATTTTCAAAATTACTGTGCTCTTTACTCATGATCTATCTAAATAAAACTATAATATGCAAACAGACCGAACAGCAGAACGACCGGTTGCTATGATGCACACTGACCACCAGGGGGCAGATGATTAACACAGGAGTGGGTGACGCCATGCCAGCCAAAGGTGGTGCAAGTGGGGGGGGTGGGGAGGGCGATCACCCCAAACTGCCCACAGATCAGCTGGCTAGGCCTAGGGACCCTATCTGTGCAAGAATTTCCTGCACCTGGCCTCTAATAGTAATATAAGATCAGAAAAACAATATTTAGATGGGAAGACCTTCTGTGCTTTTTTTTTTAAATCCTCACCCAAGGACATTTTCCCATTGATTTGTTTTTCAGAGAAAATGGAAGAGATAGGGAGAGAGAGACAGAGAAACATCGATAGGAGAGACACATCAACTGGTTGCCTCCTGCATCAGGTTCGTCACCGATCTCTCTTTTTTGCCCCTACTCACTCACTGGTGGAGGTGTATTAATTTGAGAAAAAGACAGACACTGGGAATAAAAGAAATAAAAGGCCTGGATGGCAGAGCTCCCCTCCCCCCAACCCCCGGAAAAAAAGAGTCACAATTCAGATCTACCGACAAAGGTTGACTAAAAATAATACCCTATGACAGTGATGGCGAACCTATGACACACGTGTCAGAGGTGACACGCAAACTCATTTTTTTGGTTGATTTTTCTTTGTTAAATGGCGTTTAAATATATAAAATAAGTATCAAAAATATAAGTCTTTGTTTTACTATGGTTGCAAATATCAAAAAATTTCTATATGTGACATGGCACCAGAGTTAACTTAGGGTTTTTCAAAATGCTGACACGCCGAGCTCAAAAGGTTGGCCATCACTGCCCTATGACTTCAGATAACCAGAAGAAACTCCAGAGGTACCATCATCTGATTTCTCATGCAAAGGTTGCTAATAAACCATGATTTTTTTTTATGAACCGAACACCTGAAAGTTAAGAGTTCATGAGATTATGATATAAACACAAATGTGTGTTTTTCAGTAAACAGAGTTCAATGTTAATGATATAATGCCTCAAGTCTGAAAGAACACTTTAGTTTAATATCTGACCATAAAAATTGTTTGTGTATCAGACACAATTATAAACAATATAAATGAATAATTACTTCATCAGGCCATCTGACCAGACTACTAGAAAATAAGTTTCTCTTCAAAACAAGAAAATCCTAGTTGACTTGGATAGAAATAAAGAGGCAATTCTATATTCAAATAATATTAAGATGTGAATCCTAAATCCCAATTACCATATGCCTCATATAGACATACTGGATATTATTCTTGTGGTTATACATAACTGCCTTCTGTCTTTCACATGAGAAAAAAATAAAGACTGCCTTTTTTGAGGAAAGATACACACCTGTTGGTACAGGTTCAGCTGCAATCTGCTGTTTCTCTCGTAACTCCCAAATGCGTACACTGCCATCTTCTGAGCATGAGATTACCTGCCTGTCAGAACAGAAAATCAGTGATAAAAAGAGCACCGTGGAGGGCCAATGCTAAATTTGCAGGGAAAAGAATAAGTGGAGCCCTCAATGGCTTTTATTCAGCTCTTGGCAGGAGCTGATAAAAACCACAATTTAACATGGCTTTCTCAATGCAAAGTAAAAGCACTCTTCAGGAAAGACACACATTATATTGTTACATTGGCTCAAAAGTTATAAATATTTTGTCTTCATTTTTAAAAATGCATGCAGGAAAACAGGGCATGAATTACACTTTCATAATATCCTGAGTGACAGTCCCCTGTCCTCCCCTCACTGTATCTCTGCTCAGGGTGCCTCTCACCCTGAAAATAACCTGCATAGAAAATACTACTATTCCCTTCATATAAGTTCCTCCCTAAAAATCCAGCAGCCAAATTTTCTAGAAGGGAAGTCTCAGTAACCTTCAATAACAGGAGATTTCCATTTCATTCTGGCTATAAACAAACAACAAAAAGATGTGTTTATGGAAAATATAAAAAGAAAAATTAGCATTTAGTAAATGCCCAAAAGTCTTTCACCTGTTAAAATAAATGCCATAGTTTAAAGTAGTGCTTCTTATAATGAGATTCAATATAATTCATCTGAACCTTGCTTCTTGTAAATTTTGTAATACATTGCCACAAACTCTTTTATTAGAGATAGCCACATGGTATTATCCATTTCCAAAAGAATATAGCAGGTCAAGTCACAAAGCCAGGCAACTTTGCCACTTGAGAAATTACATTGGTAGCCCTAGGAACTGTGAATTTCTCTCATCTGTTGCAAAGCAGATGGGAACTTGTACCTGTTTGGAAGCTTGGCAATGTGCAGGACCCTGGAGTCATGGGCAGTTTTCTGGCAAGCAATCACACGCTTCATTTGAAGGTTATACACGTATAAACCTCTTCCAACTGCAACAAATACATTCTGGAGGGGAAATTCAGAAATGGGAATAAAACTAGTGCTTACCACTACCTAGTGTAATAGATTTCCAGCCCTGGTGTGACATCAGAAAATCATTGTTACTTTCCTCTATTCCTAGCCTTCAGCCCAAATTACTGTGCTGCCCTCTGAAGTCCAAAAATTTCAAATCATGAAGGAAAGCTCAGCATTTAGAAGGTAGAAGGACACAATTGCAAATACAGAGGAAGCTCTATATATTACACCCCTAAGCATCACTTTCTTATTGAAATACTAGAGGCCCAGTGCACGTAATTTGTGCACTCGGGGGGTCCCTCAGCCCAGCCTGCACCCTTTCACAGTCTGGGAGCCCTAAGAGGATGTCCGACTGACAGCTTAGGCCCGCTCCACATGGGAGCTGTCAGTCAGACATCCTTAGCACTGCTACAGAGGCAGGAGAGGCTCCCGCCACCGCCGCTGTGCTTGCCAGCTGTGAGTCCAACTTCTGGCTGAGCGGCACTCCCCCTGTGGAAGCACACCCCTAACCACTCTGCCTGCCTGCCTGATCACCCCTAACTGCTCACCTGCCTGCCTGATCACCCCTAACCAACCCTGCCTTGGCCCCTGTCACTGCAGCTTCATCCGGAAGGACATCTGGAATGACGTCCAGAAGGTCGTTCGGGTGTCTGGTCTAATTAGCATGTTACGCTTTTATTATTATAGATAACAGCTAGAAAAGGGGCTGGTAGATTAGCCCTGCTGGGCTGAGGAACCCCACTCCCCCACCCCTGTGCACGAATTTCATGCACCAGGCCTCTAGTTAGAAATATCTCTTTATTAAAACAACTTTAATCTTTTGAAAGTATTTTTACAATATTTATCTTACTTCAGCCTCATAACATCTCATTAAGGATAGGAAAAGCAAGTATAATTGGCATCTTTCAGGTGAGCAAGTTAAAAATGAAAGATTAAAGTTACACATAAAATTAAGACAGGGAGTCAATATTTATACTCAAGGTCATGTTACTCCAGTCCTCTGCCCTTTCTTTCCTCATATCATACTGCATAGGTTCTCAAATCATTTTGCAAGTCACTAGACTTTTGGTAGCACATATACATATCTTAGAATCATTCATTCTTGCTCATTAGATACCCCAGTGAAGCAGACCTTTCAAAACTTCCTACAGATTGCCTCTCTGTTGTCTGAACCTTACTTATGCGGCCTCAAACCCAACTCAGACCTCCAATATCTGGACCAAAGCATGGCCCCATGGCTTACCAGAGTCTCTGATCCCCCTGACCTTCAACATTTAGCAATGCAAGCTGAGGATCAGTGCCAGGGTCATTAAGGAACAGTTAGCCAACTTGCTAAAATCTAGAACCCTATTGGTAGAATTCAATGCAAAGAAACTAGTTTTACAGACCAGGAAATCTGTACAGAGTTTAAGTAATTTATCCAAGGTCACACACAAAAAATTATATACACACCTAGAGAATTAATGAGCTTTAAGGCTGCAGTGAGTCAGTCAACAGACTCTATCATTTACCTGTTATCAATAATTAATGGGCCCTAGTAGAAAGAAAGAACCCCTCTAAGAGAAGGAAAGTCAGAGAAAACTGAGTAATGTTTTATCAAGCATTTATAGTCGTTAATAAGCATCTATCAAAATTGTTAAGATTAAGAAGAATGCAAAATTAAAAACTTTTGAAATACCAATTTTTTTCAAAAAGTAGAAAAAGATTTAAAAAGAGAAAATTAAGAATAAGTGTTAGGACTCCAACTCCTAGAAATCTAGTTATCCATCTTTTCTGAAACCCTATTGTTTTTAGCATATATATTTAATTTTTTTCAACATAAAATTGGGACATAAAGAAATTTAATCTTTGGTTATACTAGTGTTCTTTATTCTAGGCTTAACCTATTGTTTTGCTTTTAAAGTGAGAGAGGTGCAAAGAAAACAAAAAAATATGCAATACTCTCCTCATCCAGGACATTATTTATGAAATGTGTAAATAAAATAACATGCATATAATTAGAAAATTTAAACAGTGTAGAAAGGCACAAAATACAGTGAAATAAAAGCTTCCTCTCTTCAAAGGTTACAACCCTTAAATTTTTGTTGTTGCTAATCCTCACTCGAGGATATTTTTCCATTGATTTTTAGAGTGAAAGAAGCCGGGGGACACGGTGCGGGAGTGGGGGGGGTGTGCGTGGTAGTGGTAGAGAAACATCAATGTGAGAAACTGATTGCCTCCCACAAGTGCCCTGATGAGGGGTGGTGGTGGGGAGGTCGAGATCAAAACAGTGAGCCTCCAGCGCATGGGCCCACACTTTAACCATTGAGCCATGCCTGTGAGGGCTTAAACATTTCTTATGATTACATTTATTTCTAAATGTAATCATAAGGAATGTAAACTCCCTTTTAAATACATTTTCTTAGCCAGGATTCATTAATCCAGTGCTATTCATCTCTTACTGCAAAAAAGATGTAAAGTACTTCAAGAGCATCACCTCCAAGGCCTAAAGGATTGAAATCAGTAATTCTCAGACAATCATCTTGCCCCAGGATGCTAGGAAATTAAAAGAAAAAAACTCTTCAATATTTTTATTTCCTTTACTTCTCTAAGAAATGCACCAGAATCTTAAAAAGGATTCTTTTCCCAAAGTATTTCTTAAAACAATTTAAATCATTATTCTCAAATTCTATGGAATTATTTAATCCAACCCAAAATTCCAAGAAAGCTTTTAAATCTGTGGCCATTTAATCACTTCCTTGCTTTAAGGATAGAAGCTAAGATTAAAAATGCTTTTTTTTAAAAAAATGCAAGTGGTATAATCTTCAAAAAATATCAGAACATTTTAAAGCACAACTTTAACATGGGTAATAATAGGTTAAATTTTAAAAATTAGAAACAGGGTTTATTTAAAAAGGCAACTTTATAGATATTTTCTTGATTTTTTCTTACCTCTTCATCCCATGTTAAATGATGAATAGAGATGTCATTTGGTTTTTGACACAGTTTTATTTCTTGCTGAGTGTCCAGCTGTGGAAATGGGTCCCAGAAGTTGTGTTCACAGGCCTGCATAGTCCAGTCCAGGGTATCCCAGATGATCAGCTCTCCAACATGGGAGCCAGTCACAAAACTCAGATCTAGACAGAGTTCATATAGAGCTCATTATTGATCATTTTACCAACAGATTAAAATGAATGGACTGCCTAGTAATAATGCTCTACAAAACCACAATAATAAGAACAGTGAGGTACCTAGATGAGCCAAACAGGACAATTAATATAACAGAACAGAAAGACCAGAAACAGACTCAAGTTACCTATTTAGTATATGATAATGATTGCGTTTCAATTAGTGAAAAATAAATACCTCATGCTAGAACATTTGGTTAAGTATTTTGGGCATAAAAATAAAAGAACCTTACTTTGGATCATATAGATTTAGAAAACCTACATTTCTCCTGTGTGTTTCCTTTAACTTTAACTACTACCACACTCACAACACTTCTGACATCAGATGTGTGGGTTTTTCCCACACCAAGTAATTCTGTGACAACAGCGAGGTGACCTACAGTTTAACTTAATTCTGACACTATCTATCTGGAGACAGCATCAGATGTCACAGGTTAAGGGCTCAGTCCCCACACACACACTTCAGAGGACAATAATAACAAGTTCAAGTTATTACCTGTGCTTCTGGTCAATCAGCTATAAATCAAAGGTTCTCACATCCCCTACTCAAGTTCAATTAATTTACTGGAGCAGCTCACAGAACTCAGGAAAACAGCTTACTTAATTACTACCAATCCTATATAATAAAAGGCTAATATGCAAATTGTCCCCTTGGGAGTTCGACCGGCTGGGAGTTTGACCACTCGCTATGACGTGTGCTGACCACCAGGGGAGAGCGTGGAATGAAGGAAGATCCCGGCCGGCCCCGATTGCCGGCTAGGCCTAGGGACCCTCCCCAGGCATGAATTTTGTGCACCGGGCCTCTAGTGTTTTATAAAAGAACTAGAGGCCCGGTGCATAAATTTGTGCACCAGTGGGGTCCCTTGGCCTGGCCTGCAGGACCAGGCGGAAACCGGCTCTCCAACATCCCCCAAAGGGTCCCAGATTGCGAGAAGGCGCAGGCCAGGGGGGGATGCTGGAGGGTGCCCAGCCGGGGAGGGACTGCCGGAGGGCTCCAGGGTGTGTCCGGCCCTTCTCGCTCAGTCCCGACCGGTCGTTCCACTGTTCGGTTGATTTGCATATTACCCTTTTATTATATAGGATATGATAAAAGATACAGATGAACATGCAGATGGAGATGCACAGGCAAGGTATGTGGGAAGGGCTATGGAGCTTCCATGCCCTCTCCAAGCATACCATTCTCCCAGCACCTCCACAGGTACAGCAACCTAGAAGCTCTCTGAATACCGTTGGGATTTCTATGGAAGCTTCATTATGTAGGCAAGATCAATTATTAACTCAATTTCCAGCCCCTCTCCCCTCTCTGGAGAATGGAGGATAGAGCTGAAGATTCTAAGCTTCTAATCATGGGTTGGTCTTTCTGGTAACCAGATCCAACCAGGAGCCCATCAAGAAAGAGTGGCCTCATCAGAACAAAAGACACTGAAATCACCCAGGAAATTCCAAGAGATTTAGTACCCTATGTCAGGAAATATTAGAACAAAAGATGCTCATTGTACTCTTATCACTTAGGAAATTGTAAGTTTTTAGAAGCTCTGTGCCAAGAACTTGGGACAGAGCCATATATATAGATATATTTCTTCTATTATTTAATACCAAAATAAGTTTCAAAGAGATTAAAAAATTAAAGATACTTAAAGGATTGAAGAAAACTATGATCAATACTTTTTATGAATATGGAGTAAAAGGCTCTAAAGGAGGCAGGGTGGGGACTGGGGAAAGGCATCTGCGTTAATACCTGCCTAGAAAAAAACAACATTTAAATGACAAAAAGATGGGGAAATTTTGCAACTTAGATGTCAAAATAGGTGAGGTTTTTATTTTTTGTTTTTAAATCCTTACCCAAGGTTAGGGGTTTTTACTAATTTTTTTTTTTGAGAGGAAAAGGCGGGGGGGGGGGGGGG